TATTGCATTTCTTTCAATCAAGCTATAGTCGATTTTTCTCCAAAGGTGTAAAAAATATGAAAAATATAAATAAACAGAATTTTTAAATTTTAATTTTTAATTATTTTAAATAGAAATACATTAAAAATGCATAAAAAACAAATAAATAAATAATTGAATGTTTCCAATTTTTAATAAATAAACGAAAAATATGTTTTTTAAGTAAACAGAAATAATTTTTAGTATGTGGTTTTCCTTATTTTGCAGACAAATTTTTAATTAAAAATATTGAAATTTGTATTAAAAAAAGGAAATATAATTAACAAAGACAAAGCAAAAAAGATTTTAAATACAAAATTTGTATTTTTCCAAAAGATATGTTTTTTTACTCAAAACATTTGCGCTCATATGTCAATTTTATTGTCGATTGCACCACCCATGGCCGTAGCAATTTATTAACAATTTTTTTGTTGTTAACATTTTTTTTTTGTTTTTTGTTTATAATTTTATCTAATTTTGTATTAAATGTGAATTGGAATTGCGTGTTGAAAATCTCATTAAATAGCAAAAAATTTGCCATATTATTTAGTTGAAATTTTTTTTATATTTCCTTAGAAGACATTATTTTGATGATTATAATTTGATGAGTGCTCAATGGACTCATTCAGGCATAAATGACGTAGAAATCTTCACTTTGTGCATTTGTGCATTTGGTTAAAATCTTTTGCTCAATAAAACGTTTTACACAAGCATTAATTTTCTTATTAATAATTATAGTTGAAAAAATTAAAAAATAAAAACTATTTCACTTTGTTGGTGGTTAATGTGCAAGTGCAGCAAATTGTTGCGAATGCCTGCGTGGGCATCTGAAATCAATTGATATGAACTGAAATTGGCCCGGAGCCAGCGGATTGCAATTCTCTGACTTGTAAATGTGCATCATTTGATTTTGTCAAAATTTAATTATTAATTAAATTCTGTGTGCTTATTTAGTTTATTTTCGAAATAATTTTGTTTATTTTTAAAAATTTTTAATATATACGGAAAGTCATGAAAATTTTTATGTGTATCTCAAAGATATATTTTCTTATTAAATATTATTACTAATAATTTTGGTTTTCTTCATACCGAGCTATATAATTTCCTTTAAAATTTTATTGCATTTGGTAATAATTTTTGGTTAAAGCATTCACTTTGACTTTTATTACTCTTCAAAAGATATAAAATGAATTTATTTATAATTATTTCATATTTCTTTACTCTCAAAGTTTATAGCTATTTTATAAGCAATTATTATATATTTTGAAAATACAACTGCAGATAATAGACAAAGAGGATGACCACGCAGAAGTGGGATGAGTCGAATAAACAATGACTTACAGAGAATATAGTCGTCAGTAAATGGAAAAGAAAAGCAAAAAATTAACAAAAATGGGCAGTAATGGTGTGACAAGATTAAGTACTTCAGGATAACTGCTATGCCAAAAAAGAAGTATAAGAAGATATAAGAATAATGGGAATTCTACTGATGAAACCAAAAGCGAATTTACTAAAAATATACTAAAAAATATACTAAAAATTAACTATCGAAATAAAAGTTAAAATTCTTAAAAAACAAAACCGATTTTATTATAAGAAGAAGCTACAGATAAAATATTTATTTAATTTTTTTATAACTCATGGCAAGAAATATATTTCGAATATAAAAGAGAGCTGCTAGTTAGAAATTATTTTGTTTTATAAATAAATAAACTTTAATTAAGGTTTGGGCTAAAACAGTTCAGATTCTATCTTTGCCTTACTCAAGCGATTGTAAAATTCGACAATATGTAAAACATCGTAATAGCGCCATGGCTAGTAAAGCCATCTCTCCAAGATGCATTCGTCGATCTCTTGCTTCCTGCCATAACCACATCGACTAATATTGCAATGGAACTAACATCAATGGGATCGAATTTAAACGTAAACTTATAGCACTCCACACAGATGCAGTATCCGCCTGTTATCTCACAGAAAGAACAACGATGTCTCCTCCGTGCAGCAAGAACTATCCTAGTTCAATTGAGATCAGGATATAGCCATGTGCTAAAAAGTTATTTGTCGCACATAAACACGTATAGTCCAAATATATGTCCAAACTACAGCTCTTTAAATCTTAGTTCAATTAACCTTTCGACTCACCCTCTTAAAGTAGTTAGGTTTTTGCGACTTGACCTGGGTTGATTTCAATTATGTCCTCCCCTCCCTCTTTTCTCTCCTAACCTTCCACCAAACACCATCCATCCACATCCCAAGCCTTGAATGGGATCGTCTAGAAGTCCTTACATACGATCTGCTTTTTCGATCCCAGCGGGCTACAACAACAACAGCAACAACATGTAAAAGTTTTTTAACAAACTGGCAGCATGTAAACGCTTTTAAACAAGTATATATACTAAATTGTTTTCAGAAATAACAATTGAAAAACTGTTATTAATTAATTCAATTATACTATAGCAATATTTGTTGTTTCATTCCAATATAACACAGCAAGCGGTTTTGTTAATGAACTTTCATAGAAAATTCACAAAACTTCACGTTAGAACAATATAAGTCATGTACGACTTTGGGTTAGTTAGCTAATAAACTCTGAGTCTGAACTTCAAAGTTGACAGGGTATAAGTTCAATTTTTAGCACGTATAGTCTAAAAGAATAATAATTTTTTATGAATAATTAAATATAAGAAATAATTTCAAGACCACTGAGCATGGGTATTCGATAATACTCGAAACAACTGTTTGGTCACGACTTTGGGTTAGTTAGGTAATGAAATCGGCGTCTAAACTTTAAAGTTAACAGGGTGCAAGTTCAACCTTTAGTACGTACAGTCTAAAAGAATTTTTTATGAATAATTATATATAAGAAATAATTTCAAGACCACTGATGATGGGTATTCGGTAATATTCGAAAAAAAATTAATTAATTAAAAATAAATAAGAATTTTGTTGTTATAATTTACTACTGTTCCGAAAATCTTTATATTAGTAAAAAATATTTTCTATTAAGAAAATATTCCTTTCGTCATAATGGACTTTAAAAATCAAATTAATTAGCGTTTGTGTTTGAAAAACGATAACAATTAATATTTAAGTGAATTTATATAGCTGTGGTTTATGCTTTTTATTTAATTAAACGGCAGCGTATTTTTTATTCAGTCCACATACAAGGTTCTGAGAGGATTGAACTTTCTTTTATAAAAATATAAATAAAATTGTATTAAATGAAATAATTAAAAAAGTGAGCAAATAGAGTTTTAAATAATTTTTTAGATTTTTATTTTAAATAAAATAAATTTTTTTTTTATACTAAAAGCCGGTCTTCACGTTCAATGAAAAACGCATAAGTCTGATTTTTGCAATGTACTCTGCCCCTTTTTTAATGCTTAACTTTGCATGGCGTTTAACAAAAAACATAGACCTTGACTTCGTTTTTATGTGAATATATAATTTTTTGTATTTATTTTACTTTTAATTGTTATCGCATTTAAATAAATTAAATTTTAATTTTGCATTAAAATTAGCTTTTTGTTTTGGTTTCAGCTGTTTCTGAATTTTTTTTTTTAAACTAAAAATGCTTTTAGCGCAAAATAATAACTGAAAGCAGACGCGAAAAAATTAAAATGTCTGGAATTGTTGACGTCATTGGATTGGTTTATTTTGTTTATAAATATAATTTTAGTTTTGCATAATTTCAAATAATTACTTTACCTGAAAATTTATTTTCTTTTTGAATACAAAAAGAAAAAAAATAATTTAATTCTTTGAACTCCGCTAAATTTAAAAATTGTTTATATGTGATTAGCCTTATGTGTCAAGTAATAAAATAAAACTTTTCTTATTTTATTTTTAATTCTTTTGTTTATTTTATAGTTTTTATTTATTTATGCAAAACCTTCGCAAAAATGCATTTAAATACGAATTATTCATACAAATAAAAATTTTTGTTTAAATTATTTTAAGAAAAATGAAAGATTTTTGTAAAATGATTTACGATTAAAATTTTTGTGTCCTATAACATAAATCTATCTATCTTTAAATAGAAGAGGAGGTAATAGTGAATAAATTTTAAATCAAGTGAATTTTAGAGCTAACCAAAGAGCTAAATATCTATCATCAGTGGTACTTGGACACAGCTATTTCTTTTATTCTTCCTTTATTGCATTCCTAAGTTATATGCGGATAAATAAATTAATAGCTAATAGTAAACAGAATTGAAATGAGTCGTCTTTGACCGCGTCGAGTAGCCTCTGCCAGTCTTCCCGGTTAGTTGCTTGCTGTCGCCAGTTGGTAGTACCAAGCGCCCCGAATTCGTTGGTCACCTGGTCCTTCCAGTGTTTTCAACCTACGGGTACCAAATCCAACAAAACAGTTTTGTTTTGTTGAAAGATTTAATTTATCGTTTTTTTATTATTGAATAACATTGCAATGCAAATTTTGACTTATTATTGTAACAAAATTACAGATTCTTATTGTTTTTATAAATTAAAATAAATATCTGCAAAACAAGTGTTGTTTTATTCCTATTTCTGTTGTGCTAGAAAGGCTTCAGGCGCTTAGAAAAAATTTTTATTACTTTAATATTCTATTTTTAAATTATATTTTCCTAAATTTAAATATATATAAAATAATTACAGTTATCTTATTAAATTATATCACAGCTCAGCCAATGAAATTAATCCCTAATATTATTTATGTTCTCCTAGCTAAAGAGAGACACTGACACGAGATGAAACACAGTTTCCTCCTTGTCCTCAGAGCCATAGCCGCGACAAAGATCATTATACGAAAGACCCAGTCTCATAGCATGTTTATACAGTGGCCCGGCAGTAACGATACCGAAGTGCTGAGTAGGTTCCGCTTTAGTGGAAGTAGGTGA